TCACCAACCACGATCGGAGTTTGGCTGACGACGCACTGGTTGTTGTCTACACCCACAACACTGCTTTGGGCGACGATATACTCATTGCTGCTTCTCGCATCAACACCCAGGGTAATTCGAACACCACATCGTTCGCGAAGATCAATCAGATTCCCGCCATCAGCAGCACCATGACTCATCGGAGCATGGCTGATTTGGCATTGAACTCCCAGACTCCTGCCGGCTCTAGGTTCGTAGCATCTCGTTGCCCCTTGCACTTTGAAAGTAATACCTGGATTGACCTTACGGTATAGATCTGTGTGGTTTACGTTAACGTTCAAGAACGAAGAAGCAATCCTGAAGAAGGCTGTCGAGGCTCACCAGGACTTCGTCGACGCTATGAAGGTTGCTGTTGGGGCAGATCAGTTCACCACCCAGATGGTCTTCCAACCACTGCCTGCCTACTTCGCAGCCATTGGTACCGAGAATGGTGGTAATGTCCTCGGTCTTGATGGGGAGAAGGAGAATGCAATTCTCTGGCTTGGTCTCGTTACCATCAATACCGAAGCTCAGGAAGCTGTTGCTCGAGCACGTATGGCCTCAGCGTCTGCCCAAATCGCAGACTATGCTATTTCTGTCGATGGAAACGTCAATTGGCGTTACCTGAACTACGCTGACCCAAGCCAAGATCCGATCAAGACGTATGGCTCTGCTAATGTGGACTTCATCCGCGAGGTTGCAGCCAAGTATGATCCTGAAGGGAAGTTCCAGACGCGAATCCCAGGAGGCTTCAAGATTTCACGCGTGGGTTGATGTTGGATGGCTCAGATGGCCCTGGTGGGAGATTTGAGCTGCTCGAAATTTTGGTAGTATTGAGATAACGCTAGAGCGCGCTCATCGATAGCCAGCTTTTAAAAAATGAAATCATCGGCTAAGGTAATGCTTTTTTCCGGGGAGATAATGTTGTCAGATGTACAAAGCTGGAAATTCTTGTTTGTCAGTGGAAAAGAGTGCCGCATCTTTCCATTCCTCAAAGCTCAAAGGCCTCTGTAGGGTTATGTTGAGATGCGGCGAAACTTTTCACGTAAGGTAAGTATGAAACCATGAATGCTCCGACCACCGGTTGCCGGATCCCGGTATCCACCAGTTCCCTCGCTTCTATTCCGGCAGACAAGCGGCTTTGGAGCCGGTGCCAAGCCCCGCCCCTCGTATCCACATCGCGGGGCCGGGAGTCCTGCACCTGGATGTAATCAGTCTCTTGTAATTGGCTAGTTCTGACAAACAACATCCCTCGAAATGCGTCAGAGTGTACGTATACGTGTAAAAGCAGTTGCTCATGCAGACCTTGCTTGCTTGTGCACCTTTCATGCGGATTCAGATAAGAGTCACCCGCACCGAAGCTATCTAACCTATCTCCCGCGGAGATGCCATGTTGGGGGTTGAGTCACCGGGGCTGACTGACTCTCGACAGTGACGGCCAAGCTTGAGACTGCGGAACGGTCTTTGTTACGCACGAGTACGGAGATAGGTGGCTGAAGTCATCAGAATATAAGTCAATGCGATCGTCGAAGATCGAGCCCTTCCGGCCTCTGGCGTTAATGAACAGACTTTCCAGATGTGGTTGTGATATTGCCATTGCGAGTACTTGCGGAGGCGAAAACTTCCGCGATTGACGTTAGAAACCATAATTAGTGGACCACATGCACGCCCTTTCAAACACATGTCCTATTACGTTTCGGCAGGAACTAGAGGAAATACACGGAAGCGCCCGGCCCTATAAAGCCGGTGAACCGACATAAACCGCTGTCATCAGATCAACTCAAGCACTATCAATTTCAACCCATTGATATCAACAAACAACAACGCCATTTAGCCAATTTACTGTATCCATCTTCTTGTCTTCGACACCATGCAGCTTCGGAAAGATCACGTGGAGAATAGTATTCGAGTACTTCGTCAACTCATCAAGGACTATCCCCTCGGTGTCCTTACAACAGCTATACCGTCGGCCGATCACCCTTTCATCCAGTCTAGCCACATCCCCTGGGTATTAGATGTCGAAGATGACTCTAGCGAAACCGAGCTCGGCGTCCTGAGAGGTCATGTGGCGCGCGCAAATCCTCAGTGCAAGGCGATGGTCGAGTCACTAGCGGCAGAAAACCGGACTGGGACCGGAAACGTTCTCGATCAGGAGGTGCTGGTCCTCTTCACCACGCCCGCCCACTCCTATGTCACGCCGAAATTCTACGTCGAAACCAAGCCAACGACGGCCAAAGTCGTACCGACCTGGAACTACGCTGCGGTGCAGGCGTACGGTCGCGCCAAGATCTTTTATGAGTCCAAGGCCGAGGAGACGTCGAGTTTCCTGAATAAGCAGCTCCACGATCTCTCACAGTTGGGAGAGCAGTCAATCATGGGATACACTGGTCAAGACGGCCGTCCTGGGCCGTGGCAAATCTCGGATGCCCCGCAACGGTACATTGATCTGTCTAAAATGGCTATCATTGGCATTGAGATCACCATCGACAGGCTGCAGGGCAAATTCAAGATGAGCCAGGAGTTGGGCGAGGGTGATCGCCAAGGTGTTGTCGAGGGATTCAAGGCGTTGAACTCGGACTTGGGCAACCAGATTTCAGCCCTGGTAAAGGAGCGCGGTGAGTTGAAGCAGAGATCTAAACAATAAAATTCAACTAAGATTTTATCCACGAAATGTTGTTTCTTGATCGTTAGGTGACTCTCGAACCTTTGCCCCGCGTATTTGGCGTAAATCTGGGGTTCAATACTACGGGCCGCAAGCGCATGTGGCCGGCCCGGTGCTGAGCTAGGGTATGGCATGTAGGTACGATTCTCAAGCGACCAATGCGAGGCAACGAATTACCCAACGAACCACTTGAAGACCAAACTATTGGCTGTGTAGAAGTACCAACACCGGGCCGGCTCTCAGCTCTATGTGAAGTACCCGTCCACTCATCAGGATACTCTTTGCGAACGAAGTCTAGGAGACATCCTAATTGCTCGGTGATGTCCCAAAGAGCTAGCCTCGATAACCAGGCTTTTTCGCTGAGAGAGAAAACATTCACGACTCGGTGTCATTAAGAAAATCAGCCCACAAGGTAGATTTGACCGGCGTGTCGGAATCATCAACACCCCCTTCTCGCACTTCCATGAATTTCTCGCCACTTGCTACAACCACCCGCGGCATCCACCACAGCTCCGCCATTTTCAACAATGTCTGTAGTCCATCCCAGCGAGCCCCGAACTACCATCACATCTCCACTATGAGCAAAAAATGACTTCTCGTCGGGCTCAATGACCTGTTTGTAGTAAGGGTCCGCATAAGCGGACAAGAACTGCTCGATGCTTGATACGGTGAAGTCGGCCGCTCCGTCGTATTGTAAGAGGTATTCGTCCGGCAGCCTTAGAGCTTTCTGAAGGGTCGTGCGATTTGCCTCGGTGGTGTGGTACTGTGGAACCCATCTCGGTGAGCTCCAAAGGCTCTTGATTAAGGATTGGATAATGATATCACGTCACTTACCTGAGTGTACCGATTGACGCCGTACTGGAGAGCCCATGGCACGACGAGGGGACCATGCGTGTTCGTCCAGTGATCGTGGAACTCTTGCTCCGTCATTTCAGCCTTTCGGGTGAGGAAAGTGATGATGCGCGCAGATTCGTCCGCTAGAGATGGAACGAGAAGGGTGAGAAGGGCACCGAGGCCGCACGTCGTTGACGTGAACCTCATCGTGTACGTTGGCTGAATGATTATGTGTAAAAGTGCACGAGGACCTGGGTTCTCGATCCAAGCTGCAGCCATCGTAATGTAACGACTTTCGTTTCCCTTTATACTCTTCGAGAGCCTAGAGTTCGAGAGAAGAGCCAAACTACAATTTCAATGGGCCTTGGCCTTTCGCTGAGGATCGGGGGTTATAATTCCCGTCAAAGTGGTCCGGCATCGCCAACTCCGTCTCGTTCCTCGGGCAAGCCGGAGCACATCTCTCGAGAAAGGGACATAGCTGCGATACTTTGAAGGTGATTCGTGATGCTTGATAACTTCGGCATGAACGAGCAGATCTTGAAAACCACCGACTACGATATCGAATCGTTGATTTGTTGGTTTTGAGACCCCAGTCATTTGCGGCAGGGCGCGCACGATGAACCCTGTCTCTTGGCACACGAGTTTGAAGCAGGCTACAGCATTTTGTCATTCCTTCAAATCAATTATACTTTGCGTTTGGCTTGCTGTTTCTTCCTCAAAAGGTTTGAATTACTGCTTTGTGCTGCCTTCTGAGAAAAACATTTCACGGAAAACTGAACTTGGTATCATCCGACTTCGGTGCGGATTTCCTCCCGTAATCGGCAAAGATACAAATGTCAAACCTCGTAGCCGAGATCTTAGAGCCTGTAAGTCGTACAAAATGCTTCGAGGCCGCTTGTTCTCTTCTGTGTCGCTCGACGAGCTATTCATTCCCGTGGATGCTCAACCTGGCGGCCAAATTGAAAGGATCTCCTTAGATCCGACCAGTCCCATTCTCCTCATACTCTTTGCGCAGGGGATTGAAACCGAGAAGGGATCGGCACCGTAGCCGACCGATACTCGTTGAACAACTCACTCACATGCGTTATCGGTGCGAATCAAGCTTCACCTCATGCAAGTGGCCGCCTTTGGTATACCGCTTCTCGGTCTCGCGTGCGGGGGAACGGTTGGGCAGCTCGGGTGTTTGTACGCGCGGGACAGGCCGAGGAGGGGTCGAGAAACTCTCAACGCGGCATGCGGCTCGACGGAAAAAGGTTGACGACAGGGACTTTATTTGGGATGAAACTAAAGCTTGTAATTGCCAACACTGTCGACAATCATCGCGCATCGCTAATACAGACGTATGAAACTCAGTTCCTGTGCAGGTATCTCTGACTTATTGTGAAGAGAGAATCGAGAACTGTCTACGACCACTTTTACTCACCAGGAGGCCTTCAGGTTGCCTCGTAGGCACTGTATTCAAGATTTCGACGGTCGCCCGCGTAACATGATGGCAGAAGTAACGAAATCCACGGACATCAAAGGCCTACACAAAAATGGCTCACTCAACGATGAAGAAACCGGCGGATCGCACTCAGAGGCACCCCTCGAGGTCCACGCAGACGAAGACATCGTAGCGCGGATGAACAACCTTGATCCGCCTGTGACGCCAGAGGAGGAGAGACGCGTACGGAGAAAGATTGATATGCGACTGCCTCCCTTCCTGCTCATTCTCTATATGTTCACCTGGCTGGACCGTGGGGCGCTGGGGAACGCGGCGCTGATGGGGATCAAGGAAGATCTTGGGTTCACGAGCAGAGACTTCTCTCTCGCCGTGAGCATGTTCTTTGTCGGCACGGCGATTTCTGACCTGTTTACGAATATTGGGATGAGGTATATCCGGCCTTCGGTGTACCTTGCTACGGCTATGGTCAGTTTGATGCGCAAGAGGGGTATCAGTACATGGACGAAAGCTCACTAAGCTCATAGATCATCTGGGGCATCTTTGCGACGCTGCAAGCTGTTGCCGGCGGTCCCAGCGGGATGTTCGCGATCCGGTTCTTCCTTGGCATCTTTGAAGCGGCCTTCATCTCCGGGGCGCCGTATCTGACGACTGTTCTCTACCCCAGAGCTGTGAGTTACTCCCGCAAACCTCTTGATACTTTCTTCTTGTCCCCAAAACCTAACAATCTCAGGAATGGGGCCGTCGCATAAGCGTCTACCTCTCAGCAACCCCCCTCGCAGGCGCCTTCGGCGGCTGGGTAGCCTACGGCGTCTCCAACATCTCCAACCCGCTCATAAAGCACTGGCAAGCCCTCTTCGTCATCGAGGGGCTCGTCACCATCCTCTTCGGCGTAGCCTGCATCTGGGTCCTGCCCGACCGCCCACACAACACGCACTGGCTCACCCCGCGCGAGCGCGACGTCGCCACCTGGCGGATGATGCGTGACGGTAACCGCACGCACGGCAAAGTCCACTGGCGCACGACGGCGGCGCAACTGACGGGGGACTGGCGGCTGTGGCTGAACATTGCGATTTACATGGGACAGGTGCTGCAGACGTACACGATTGCGACGTTTACGCCGATTATTGTGGCAACGTTTGGGTATGATAATGTCAAGGCGCAGTTGATGACGGCGCCGCCGTATTGTGTTGCGTTTGTCATGGTGTTTGTTGTCGGGTGGGCGAGTGATCGGGTGAAGTCGTGTTCGGGGTTGTTGGTGGGGTGTTCTGTTGTTGCTGCTATTGGAGATTTGTTGCTTGCCGTGTTGCCGCATACGGCTGCGAGTGCGAGGTATGGCGCGACGTTTTTGATCTTGTCTGGAATTTTGTCAGGTGTTACGTTGAGCGTTGGCAACATCACGAGTAATTGCTGCGGTGATATCAAGAAGGGGATCGCGACGGGGTTGTTTCAGTCTTTTGGGAGTACAATGGGCATTGCGACGGGGTATCTCTTCCCTTCGATGGATGGGCCGAGCTACAAGAAGGGGTTCTGGACGTTGTTTGCGGCTACGTGTTGGACTGGTGTTGGGGCCGCGTTTGTGACGGTGATGAATATCAGGGAAAATAGGAGGCGAGATCGGCAGTCTGGGAAACCACCTCGAGATATGGTGATCGACTATGACGAGGATGGTCAGATGGAGAACCATCCATATTGGAGGTTCTACCATTAGGCTCTCGGTAATTGATAAAGATTAGAGACATCCGACTAAGGCTTTACCACAGGTTCAAGGCGCTCATCAAGTGAGGTAATGGAGTTGACATGATTGTTTGTCTTGATAGAAGCCATATCTCTTGAGACGTTGGGTCCTTCTAGCGGCAGCTGTCCACTTAGCTCCAGTGGTGTTCCAGCCGCCCGGGACAGCCGTTGGCGGTGCAGTCTCTCTATATCGGTGCCAAAGTAGAAGGAGCGTCCAGTCGGCTACGGAATGAGGATGGGCTGGCCCTCACGGCGTCGGAGATGACGTTCCTGCAAGCCGCCGCGGATCGATTTGGACTGTAAGTAACAGACGATTGGCTGCAGCCGGACATTCAGCGAACTCGTGCCTTGGCGATGATGGTCCTTTTACAGGTGCGCAACATCAAGACCTTGGAGCTACCCATCCATATCAAAGGATTCTTAAGATGTCTCACCACCGGCGTCGGATTTCCAGCACGCTACGATGCGCTTACGGACATTCGGCTCGGCAAGAACACACTTGGAACGTTTGATGCTACGGGTGAAGATGACCCGTACTCCGGCAGCAGCGACGCAAGACGTCTGCTGGAATCAGCACCGCGGCGCGAGACAGTCCATCTTGATTTCTTCGTAGGCAACCATCAAGAGTGGTCCGCCATGGATTGGTCCAGCGTCAGGAACCTGCACTTGCGGCAACTAGAGAGCGATGACATCCGTGTGACGGATTTGTCGACGTTTTCCCATTCTATCAGACGACCGCGAGGATTGGATTGCAGCGGTGACGACGGGACGTTGCCGGAACCTCGAACTGCTCAAGTTTACCTGAAACACTCGCTCCGTGGTCAATCATCGAAAGGCTGCCACCAAAGACACGCTGGCTGTATGTTCCCGCGGACCACTCACTTCAAAGAGACGGACAACACGATCACTCAGAGTGGCTCAACAACTTTAGCGGGTTGGATGGTCCACTCTGTGAGAGTGTTTGAAGATGGAAACCTCCCAAACCTCGAATGGTTGGTCATTCCGGCCTTCGAATGTCCACACGGTCAGCAGTGTCTGTCTACACCGAAGAACGAGCTCAATAAAGGCTTTGTGCAGAAGTTCCCAACCCCTTCATCTTTGGAAACAGATGTTGCCATCGTGGTGTGTAAGGTATCGAGGAATGTTCGGGAAGGACTGTTCATGCTCCTCACGTCAGGGCTGCCCTGTAGCATGGAATTCGATGACCTCCGTTGCAAAGTGGAGATGCAGCCGGGCCACTCACCTAGCCTGAGTGCTTCTGAGCTGCAGGTGAAGCTCATTCCCTCTGCTAATTAGACCGAAAGCTTTTCACCGGAAGCTTCAGAAAGTAAACAGAGCCCCACAGCCTCCCCATCATACATTGGGGAGATAGTGGGACGATCCCTTGAATGACCAAGAGGACTAATGATAGCACAGGGGACATTGCCTCATGGAACATGACGATAGGTTTGGGTGGTGGTTTTTGCAGGAGTCAGGCCAGCGTTGTTAAGTACAACTCTTGGGAACTGAGGAGGCAACGGATGACGCATAACGTCGGACGCGTCATATTTGTTTAACAGCGGCAGTGAGATGGACATACGTTTGATGCGGATATAGAGGAATTTGATAGACGTTGTAGTAGTCTTTACTAGATAGCTTGGAGCAATCTGATATTCTGTAATGTATAATACTTGCCTTCGTCATAATGGTCTACGAATGTGGTCTTAGTGGCAATGCTGTACAGAAAGTGGCAGTCGTCGAGCATTCTTCCAGCTCACATTCAACTTGTGGAGTTGTGTGAGGAGCAACTGGCGGGGCGAATCGGAAACGGCCTCAGTCAATCGAACTGTTTGGGCAACAGGAAAGAGCAAGGGTCAGCCCGGTATCTGATCACGCTGGGTAGAGGGTCGGGACGGGCGGGAGACCGGGCTGGTGACTGGGACGTTTGCTTGTGTTCCGCGGCCGGGTCATGGACGGACAGTAGGCGGTTGGGACAGGAGTGTTGGAACTCGGACGGCGTAGACGACGAGGAATGGGTATCGCATCTCGACATGTGTTTGCTTCTTGGCGGTTGGTGATGAGAAATGATGTGCTTGCATGGTATCTGCATCTTGAGCAATATCTTGGAAGGCCATGCATGACAGCAGGGTGTCTGACCATGTCCGTATGATCGTAGGTTCGAATGGTGGGAGACATGGTGGGAGACATGTTGGCATTCGCCAGCCAGCCATAGAAGGTGGACATGTTGTTGGCAGCCCAATCTATTGGGACCAGGGATCGAAGGAGATTCGTCACATCTTTAGCCAGGCTATTGGCGGTTGGCGGTTCTGGGCGGCGGGGTCGAATTCTGTTGCTTTCGCCTATTTGGGATGCACGGTAATCTGGACTTCCAGATCTGGTTGGAAAGAGGCGGCCAGGAGGAGGTATTCACCGTGTGCTTGACTCGGGTAAAGATTTGAATGCCATGTTCAAATGCTGCAATTGTAGCATTGGGGGAGAGAGAGAGAAAGAAGAGGGGTTCTTGGACAAGTACGACGGGTCATCTGTCAGCGACGTTGGAGTGGTCCAAGCAAGCGATTGCAGGTCGCAGGTTTTCGTCCTCGGAGGAACGTGGTGCATTACAGAAGTCAGGTACCGGCTGATGAGCGAACAAAGAATCTTGTTACAGCTGTTCATCAAGAGGAAGCTTGGTTTTACCATGTGGTTAAAAGAACGGATAGAGTGAGGTGCAGTTGCCAAACATCCCCGGGCAGGTCCAGTGGTCCAATTGGGTCGAAGGGTCGGTGCTGGACGGAATGCGGCGGAAGCTTGGGCCGAAAAGCTTCAACAGGCAAGACCCAACTGCCAGCCAACCAACCAAAAGTCAATGGGAAAGACTGGACATGAACCTGGAAGGTGCGGGCGACGGGACGGGCGTGGTTGCCCTGACCTGTTGTTACATAGGGAGGTAACTACGTTGGTGCAAGTAGGTAGGTAGGCAGGTACGAGTACCCCGTACCTGCTCGTCGACGGAAGGTGTCTGGGCACGTACCGCGGTGTGACTAGCGCAAGGAGGGGCACACAAACGAGCATAGTGGAGAACAATCCAATATCCCAGCCAACCAAAACCACCGAATTACCGCCCGTAGTGGCCGGGGTCCGAACGGGAAGGTAACCCCACTGGAGCTTTCCCTTTCCCAATCCTGCGAATCACGCTGCAATGCCGGGGGTCTCCCGCCTTTTTCGACCGTCTCCGCCGTCCCTCGTCCTCCTCCATCGGCCTTTCTGTCAAAGTTGTCGACCACATCTTTGCCCGTCACATCCTCTTCCATATTAAAGTACGGTCAGCCGCTGGGCCTCGTGCCATTCACACTCGCCCATCCGACCCAGAAAAGCCCTTCATCCCCCATCTGGCTTTTCATTGCACGACCCCATCGAGGTCGCAGCCCATCCGACCCCCTCCACATGGAATAATCGCCGTCTTATCACTTATCCTCTACCTTTACACATGTCACCACGCTTGACTGAACCCGCTTCCCGACCGAATCTGTAGGCAACGTGACGAGACTGTCGATAACAGAGGTGTGCTCATCACGCCGCCCACACCCCAGAGTCAAACCACTGGGACCTCTCCACTTCGGAGCGTCTCCGATCTCACCTCCATATATCCCCTGGTGGCGCCCCCAATTCGCGCTTTCCCGTGCTCCCGTCTGTTTTCTTACCGGTCGCTCGTTACTCCGCCAAAGCATAGCATCGCATTGCATTGAACCTACTCATCTTGGCCCCGCTACCAAGGGTTCTTGCACACATTACGCTTTCGATTCTTCTCAGCTGGCTACACGATCAACCGACCAGCGAGGGGCAGGTATCTTACTATCCCGACGACCCCCAGCCATTGAACTCTTTCAGACTGCACCGTATGTCGACATAACTGTATAATTCCGCGCGCAGTCGCTCTACCGCGCAGTATAATTCGAATTCTGTCGCCTTGCAATGGCTACTCGTATCCGCGACCTGGCAGACGCTGCCACCAAAACGGCAGCACAACTAGCCAAGCGCATTGCCATCACGCCCAAACCCGACAGTCCGCCAGGTTTAATCGAAGCCTTAACAGTTGACCCTTGGTCCAAGTCTGGGAAATATGGCATGGGCTGGACTTACTTCGCGCTGGCCCTCATGGGAACAGTTCTGTTTATGCGATCTTGGCACTTTTGGCAAGACAAAATTCGCCAAGCCATATACAAGCAAGAAGTGGAGGAATACTATGCCAACCTCTACAACACGGATCCCGACTACGCACACGCCGTACATACGGGACAAGCACAGCACTTCTTCCCCGATTCCGAAGGGCTTGGCGAGAAGCAATTCAAACCAAGGGCTCACTTCTCCTCAGTTGGCTTCGTTAACGATACCTTGGCCCTCTTCCGTTGGGTCTTTTACCGGCCGATTCCCGACTTTGTATGGGGTAGCCACCGTTTCACATTCTCCTCCCTCGCCGTAGTTACCTGCGGTCTCATCGCCTTGGCTTTTGTGACGCTCTACTGCTTTCTCCAGCAACCACTATACTGGCAGAGCATTCAATTCGGTTCGCCACCCATTGCTATACGAGCCGGAATGATTGCTGTCGCATTGACACCTTGGATCATTGTGACCAGCATGAAGGCAAATGTCTTGTCCATCCTGATTGGCATCGGGCCGGAGCGCCTCAATGTCTTCCACAGGTGGGCAGGCTACCTCTGCCTGTTTCTGTCGCTTGTACATACCATTCCATTCTACGTTCAGCCAGTATGGGACGACGGTGGCATGGATGTCTTTTCTCGCCTATTCTCCGGCGGCAGCGGCGTCATCTACGGTACTGGTATAGCCTGTCTTGTGCCACTGGTCTGGCTTTGCGTCGCATCTCTGCCCTTCATTCGCCGAGTCACATACGAGCTCTTCGTCATGCTACATGTACCTGTTGGCATGGTGTATGTTGGGCTCCTATTCTGGCACACCAAGAATTACCTTGCTTCTTGGGACTACCTGTGGGCAACAGTCGGCATCTGGGTTCTCTGCTATGCCATTCGTCTGATAAACCTCAACTGGACAAGACCATGGCGACTGAGCTTCATGGTCGGAGACGAAGCGGCCATTAGCCTCCTCGCTGAGAACGCCATCAAGATTACGATCCCGACTCAGATGAGGTGGAAGCCTGGCCAATATGTTTACCTTCGCATGCCAGGAGTCGCTTTTTTCGACAATCACCCTTTTACTATCTCGTCGCTCTGTAGCGAGGATTTTCCTTCCGAGTATGGCGAGCAGTACCGTGATTGCGTGCTGGTTTTCAAGCCGTATGGTGGCTTCACGCGGAAGGTCCTCGACATGGCCATCGAGAGGGGGCCATTCCACACATACCGCGCCTTCTTGGATGGGCCATATGGAGGCATGCGAAGGGACCTAGCAGCCTTCGACACCTGTATCCTCATTGCCGGTGGGAGTGGCATCACGGCATTGATGTCGCAATTACTCAACTTGATCAAGCGCATGCGTGATGGGAAAGCCATCACGCGCAAAGTGGTCGTGGTATGGGCCCTCAAAAGACTCGAAGCCATGGACTGGTTCCGTGAAGAGCTCAGAATCTGCCGCGAGTCTGCGCCCCCAGAGAGTGTTACTTGCAAGTTTTTCGTCACTTCAGCAGTGCGCAACCGTGCCATGATGATGGCTGGCCACGACCGTCCTGCACCGAGGGCCTTGAGTCACATGTTCCATGACAAGCTCGATGGCTTTGTGGCAGGAATTGCTTCCAAGCGCAATTCCGCTCTTATCCAGTCTGTAGCACAAGGCGATCCTGACCGAGAGCAGGAATTGCGCGCCGAGCAAGAGGATAGAATTACCGCCTTACCGCAGCAGAAATATTTACAACCACATCAATACCCACCTCCACCCCCAGGACCACCACCCTCTAATCGCTTCTCTGCCCAGGAAGAGTCATTGCGTAAGCTCGAGGGCCGCGAATACGACGAGGAGGAAGAGAGAGATTCCAAAAAGCGCGAGTTCCACTTCCCTCCCATCAACACCGAAGGCGAAGTGCCGCACTTCAACTACGCACCTGCCTCCCCAAGGAAGATCCCCGAGACAAGCCCGCGAAACTCGGATGTGCCAATACGGCCTCCAGAGCTGGCTCACTTGAGGACGACCAACCTCCCGAGCGCAGGTCAAACCCGTCCCACCAGCACATTTGGCCCACCTTCAGGCTTTGACTTCGGCTTCCCGGAGACGCCTACAGAGTTCCAAAAGAGCCTGATGCGCTTTGCTTTCCCAGTGCCCCATCAGATCGATGGCGGCTGGAGCGTCGAATA